GCGCCCTATTCCCACCCTCTGTCTGGCTTTATACCATCTCTCTCTGTCTCTCGCTTGCTCCATTTTCTTTCTGTTGTTCGTTTTCTCGCTTGCTGCGCGCCTCCTGAATCCTAGCCAATCACCAGGCTCGTGCGGCCGTCTGCCGCAGGCGCAATCTCTGTTTGGGTTCATACAGGCGAGAACATCTCCTGCGCATCCTCGTGCGCCGGTGCAAAGGGCTCCTTTTTGTGCGTGCCGCCCATAATCGCTCGCAGCGCCAGGCCAAACTGCCCGGCACGCACCACACACCCCCGCGGATCGCGGTTCGAATCGCAGGCCTGTGGCCAAGAAACGAACCCGCCGGCGCATGCCTTTTGCAGCGGGTGGCCATCAACTGCTGTACGTATGTACCATGGCGCTGTGCCTGCACTGCCTATTTTCACCATCCGTGTATTGTGTAAGGGACTCGCTTTCTCAGCAGACGAGATGGGTTGGTCGCGTGCATCTGACGCTGCCAGGCGAAGTGACAAAGGCAAAGCGTCGGGTAGAGGAATTTCAAGTGTGTGCCAAGCGGCACGGGCGCTGGAAGGGCAGGGATTTGGCAGGTCAGCCTCGTGTTTGTTCAGCATGCGCACAGCCTCCCACACCGTGCTTCGCCACCCTCCCCCCCTACACCTTCACTTGGCCCGCCGCCCGCCTTGGACGTGCGCCTCATCTTCACACCACCCACCTTTGCTGCACTACACCGCTCGTCGCACATACTGCACGCCACCCTGCTGCATGCCCCTCACAACCTCTGGCGTGTGCCTGTCCTGTGCGCTGGGCCGCCTCAACGCTACCCAACAGGTGCACATGCACTTGCACTGGAGACCCAGCTCGCTTCGCCCCCTCGCATCCCCGTACTGCGATACAATTGGAGGTCATGCATGGCACGGGGGTGTCTTGAACTGAGACCGTCCGCGGGCACGACTTTCCCATCCTTGCCCCCAGCGCCCAAACTTGGGTTGACCGAGCCTTGGGGACGTCAGCACGTCACTTAGAGTCACTGAAATGCAGGCGCCCGCTGTCCGCCCAACCTGACTGCACGCGGCTGATAACAAAATATTTTGTCTTGACACTCGATTATTGCGCATGCGTGTTGGCTTTTGGGGGGTGCTGCTCGGATGACTTGATCAAATTTCTTGAGCAGATTTTGTCGTACCATCGTCGTTGAAAACGATACATTCTCACCACGCATGAGGATGCTCTGCGTTTTATGTCCAATCACATCTTCTCACTAGGTCGCGAGTCGCGCCATCCCTGGGGAGGCTTTGAGCTCAGAGGTCGTCTGGCTGTCCAGCGTGGATCTACACGCGCTGAAAACAATTCAACGCGATTGATTGGCACGAGCCGTTGGAAGAATGACGGGCGTCTTGGGGATGGCCGCTGCACTGGCTTCTGCCTGTGCGGCCATCCTGGCCGTTGGTGTCGCCGTCATCGGCATGCGCTGGGCCCTGAACCGCTGGCGTTACCGCAAAATTCCAGGTGCGTGACAAGGTTTTCAGGAGGTTTGCTGTGGCGATGGGGGCACGCCCCGCCCGTACGCATGCGTTGGCGCTGGTAATTTCACACCTGTCGTCGTCATCAACATGCAGCAGGGCATCATCGGCTGTCGTGAACAGAAAAAACAATGCTAACCGGTAGCCACTGCCAGTTGTCCTGGGTGTTCTCCATTTGGCAACAGCAGCGAGCGAGCACCCATGGTCAAGCCTCTCTTCATATCAGACTTCCCACACCCGCCCGACGCAAATGCAGATGCACATGAGTGTGCATGCGCGCACGCGCATGCGCCGCACACACACACACACACACACACACACACACACACACACACACACACACACACACACACACACA